AAATTCTAGGTCGAGCTTCTGTGTCGTTAATGGAATTGCAAACCGTTTTATGCGATTGCGAGGCTACGATTAATAACCGATCACTGACATATGTCAGTAATGCCGTTGACGATTTACGACCACTTACACCCCAGTCCTTCATACAACCCTCGACTGGAAACTCCGTTGAAGACTTAGACGAGATCAACAGTAAAGCTCTAAACATGAGAGCCAAATATTGTCAAGAACTCCGTGAGCATTTTCGCCAACGTTTTCGTACGGAATATATCAGTAATCTTATACAGAAAAATTCTGTCAAAAACGAGGATTATTTGTTACACAAGAGTGATATAGTGTTAGTAGGCGCCGAGTGCAAGCGATTGATGTGGCCTTTAGGAGTTATTGTAGAGACGTACGCGGGTCGCGACGGTCAAGAGCGTGTGGCAAAAGTTCGTGTCGGCAATGGTTATAAAGTTAGACCTTTTCAACGGCTTTATCCTCTAGAACTTCATCAAGAACCTGCAAACACGGCTGAGGATAGGTGAAATTCAGTGTCTAACCACACTTCTGACACTAATCTTGACGAGACTGCTGACTCCACTACTGACCGACTGTTAACTACTCGTTTTGGTCGTATTTCACGACCACCTGACAGACTGACCTTTTAGTCATATGAATCATATATATGACAAAAGAAATTGGAAAATGGGCTCTCTTTTCCCTAATATATACTTTTACCCTTTCAGTGTTATTAATAAACAAGGTTTAGCGTTTGAGTCAATTTACGCTAAGACTACATTTAGTATTAGTCAAAATTGATACTATTCTAGCAAAGGTTAGTATGAGGTTCTACGGGAGTGATATATATGTAGTCCTAAAATGGAGTAACTTTGCTTATTCTCTGTATATTATGAATTTGAACTAATACGAAAATTAAAATATGAATTTTTTCAAATGAATTTGTTTTGGTTTACCGAAAAAATACATTCCCAAAAATATTTCTTTATTCAAATATTAAAATTTAAGAAATGTTTGATAACATTTAATTGCATTTACAGAACTTATTTTAATAGATCAAATACAAAAGCGTTTATTAATAATTTTTAATTTTTCAATAAATAAATCTTGACATTTTCAGTGTCAAAATTCATAGACCATTTTTTAATTTTATGCCTTTGAACATTTTTCAAATTATAAATACAAGATTATAATTTGTAAAATGCTGCCCGTTATAAGTAAACAAATTCATACAGTTGTAATATCTGTGGAGCTTGAAGTTTACACTTCTGGTGATCTAGTAATATGCGGGAAGATTTCGTCCCGCCAATAATATTGAATAAAATCAATTGATTGATTATTGACAGTTAACTGTCATACAGATAGGCCTAACCTTAGAATAATTACTAATTATAATAACCTTACTAATTATTATAATTACTAATTATTCTAAGGATCTAACCATAGTAAAGGCTATGAGGTGATCCCTTAATATACTTCCACAGAAAGAAAATAATGACTTTTTATACAAACCAATATTTATTTTTATAATGAGAATTTACACTGCATAGGTATGTAACAATACTATTTACTAAAACATACATAACAAAAATTGACACTATGATAAAATGTGTAGCCAATGATGTATTCAAAACTTTGTGTAGCACTATAAAGCAAAACGACGAAAATACTTTAATCTACTAATCGAAGAATTAAGTTAAAACAATTTAATAAATTGTAATAAATATAACCTAAATTGCATAAAAATTGTGTGTGTGTGTAAAATTATACACTCAATTGCTTAGTTATTAATTTATTTAATTACTATACCATTTAAATAATTAGTATTATTATTTAATGAGGAAGTATCAAAATCAAACTAGATGTTATTCAAATTTTGTTTTTGACGTAATAAAAGTAAATTGAGTATCGACAATTAATAAATATGTATTCGTTTAGTGTTTCTTATAATATTTAACTTTAAAATTTATTTTATTTTATTTTAATCGTATGTTTAAGTTATTTATTATGTTACGTGTATAGAAACAATGTTTGGTTTATATTTTATATGTCAAAATTAGTGATGAGCCAACTTATTACTTCAATTGACTTGATTCATCCGAATTCAGGTTTGGAATCAGGAACAAAAAGAGGAGCTCTGAATTCAGCTTGTTTTTTTATATGTGGCAATATGCATCCACAACTCAAAGTCAAAATAATCTTAATTCAAATAAACTTCTTAAAAATAATTTTGACTCGTCCAACATTTTTTCCCCACTCGTTCAGGACGTCTTTTAGCTGATAAGAAGAACGAACAAGAAACTCATCAGTTCTAATAGGAGTAATGACATTCACAAAATCATGTCATTACCAAACCAATACATTATAAATAGAGAGAGAAAAAACTTTGGTCTTATAATGATAACATAATAATTTAATAATAATGGAAACAAGATAATTTTAGAGATATAGTTGCTGGACCATCTTAAGTCCAAGCATTTTATAACATAAAATCGGATACCTTAAAATAAGTTTTTTAATAAGTATTTTTTAATAGTAGATTTAAACTGCATGATATCTAATTGTTGAATTTTGCTTGGGACCTTATTGTAGAAACGCACACAAAGACCCCTGAATGAGTTATTAACTTTTTGTAGTCTAGTGACAGGCACAGACACAAAAATTGTGTACATCAGTTTTATACAAAACAAACTAATCTTTTTACGAACGTACATTAAGTTCTCGTATATATATTGAGCAGCAACAATCATTTTGTCTATTTCCTTAAATTTCTCCCTTAAAGAGTCCCTAATCCTAAGATTTTAAATTGATCTAATTGCTCTTTTCTGAAGCACAAAAATCGTTTGTATGTCAGCATTTCCCCACAATAGGATTCCGTACAACATTACTACACTATGAAAGTAACTGAAGTATATTAATCTGGCAGTATCTATGTCAATTAAACTACTTATGCATATGCTGCAGAGCTAAGTATATTCGACAATTTATCAATATGTAGGACACAGTGTAGTTTAGAATCTTATGTTATTCATAAAAATACTGTGGTATCCGAATTATATTAATATAAATATCAAAATCAATTCACTCTAGGCTCTTACAAAGCACTTGTGAAAGTCGAAAACTTTGGCAACGGTTCGCAAACTAAGGCGGGATCTTGTATTGAGAAGAACTGACAAGAAACTCAGCAAGGGCTGATTGTTCTCAATGTTTATTTCACACAGAGAAGTCCTATTTGAATTTGAGTTAATTAGCCTATGAAGTCACTTTCCATTATAATATCAGAAATCCTACATACTCATTGACAAATCAATATACAATATTCATAATAAAATAAAATTAACAGAATTTGGTAGTCCAGTGTAGACTCATCCCCAATGGCAACCGTTGACGAGCTTGACACATGAGTCAGGCATCGCTTCGCTTATCGATAATTGAGGGAACGTAACGACCCGACGCACACGATACCGCTGCAGAGATTTTTAAGAGACCTTGACTACTCTAGGTACTTAATAAATAAGTAATATATTTCAATAAAACTGATTTCTAGAGTAGGTTGAGTAGGAAGTCAATCTATTATTGACAATATTATTGTAAGAACCAGCAGAAAAACACATACCCACTGTACGAATTAGCATAACACCTGGCTCGACGTCGTGGTCGACATGCAAGTTCAGTAGCCTTTCGAAAGGAAACCTAATTTGCACGTTACACTTTGCACAAACGTTATTCTACCCAGAAATCATGTTATTTTGTGCTAATACCTAGTATATTTGATACATATCGGGTAAGTATATACATATATACGAGTACTAAACGGTTTTTTTTTTATTATAACTATCGTTTTTATGACCTTTGTTGCTGAATAATAAACCCCTTTTCATTCATTCACCTCACATAACATAAAAATATGATTAAGACTTGATGTAGTTTTGTTGCTAAAAGTTCAACAAACAACTAATAGCAACAAACTAACTTACCTAGTTGTTATTGTTTTTCAGAACTTTTGTTAAATAGGTGTTATAATGAAAAATTCCTAGATCTACTATGACATAAGTATTTTATTTATAAAAGCTTTTTCACGGTAGCGTACCGAAGCTAAATGCCACTTTTAATAATTTCACAGCATTAGCTCCATTAATATCCATAACTTTAAAAAAACCTTTTCTATGCTCACTTCCATTATGTTAATTTCCATTTTCCTTTACACAAATAAAAATAAATTTATTCAAGGATTAGTTCGTATTAATCGAGTTGCGTTTGCGTGACTCGAACTAATTGATTTTCAACTCGATATTTATCCGAATTATCAGATCCATAACAATACTGACAATTCTATTTTCTATTCTCTTTGGTTTAACAAATGACAAGGCTGTATGGGCTAAGCACCCTTTGCCTTCCCCTCTCCTGTAGGAATGGGAAAATTGAAACCAAAAAAAATACTCTCTTTGGTTTAATGTCATGGACTGACATTTAGATCCAACAATTTGTGCTGCCATCTAGTGAAATAAAATTTTGTAATTTCTTAATGAAATTTTTTTTAATACTTCCTCAATTATTTTATAATTAACTATATCAACTTTATGTTACTACTTACTTAATTTTAATATTTTATAAAGTAATCAAACGAATAATAAACGAATCACACTCCACTATTTACTATAGCGACATGTAGTTATAAATTCGAGAAAACTTATCAAACACTTTCAAAATTACAAGTTATTTGAATAATTAATTTTCGAGATATAATGGTATCGTGTTATTAAGGCTGCAGTTGAACCTCACATAGAGTGAACTTTTACAACTATGAAATCGATATAATTTTAAAAGTACGACACGAGATATTTTTATACGTAGGTACTTCCGATTTCCTTCTAACCCTCATCAAAGATACCCCTATCTCAACTCAGCGGAACGTTTATTAAAACAAGAATCGTATGTACCATTTTATCAAGAAATTGACTATGTCCTTAAATATATAATATGTCCTTACTTATTACAGGTATTTGTTTTCTGTTGAAAACAATAGGTGACATTTTCTATTTATATTTACCTACTAGGTTTGGCGAAAAATAAGAAAAAATCCGGCCGTGTGAGTCTAACTCGCGCAAGATTTAGTCTGTGTTGAAGACACTTTTATCATATACTTAAATTTATTTATCATTTCAGTATAAACCAAGTAATTGTTGCTCTTTTATCGTAGTTAATCAACATAACATAATCAACGCCACAGATATACATAAACTATGTGTATAGTAATAGCATCGACGAATAAGATAGCATAATAGATTTGTTGTCAAACACTTGCAGTTATAGACTAAAGGGTACACCTACATTTTACATATTTATTACAAAAAAAAGTATAATAATTTAAACTTTTATGTCGTTAAATTGTTGGGTGTTGTTGGTTCCAAGGGAATTACCGTCAAATTATGACTCACAGTCAAACAAGGATTTAAAGGATCGCGGCTCTCTCCATTTTCTTGCGTAGATAGACAAGTAGCATTGATGTTCTGAGCCTCACCAGTAAACTTTAAGGCTGATGGCTGATTTTCATATGAGGGCTTGATAGTCGACACTACTGTTGCATTTAAATTATCTGGGCCACTATCAACAATTGGTGTTTCTGTTACATTATTTTCTGCTGCAGTATTTAAGAGAAGAGAACATGGGATTGTAGTCATAAATTCTCGTCCTTCTTTTGTTACAACTGTTACTGTGCATTTCGTACTGTCTGATTTAGTATTTGCAACATCAGCGTCTTTGACATCAGCGTCTGGAGTGAAGGATGTAGCAATCGCACACGGTATAGCTAAAATTTCTGTCGCATTGTCACTGCTGATAGTTAGAGTACAATTAACCAAATCTTTCAATATAGAGTCGACGGCCGGATCTGTACCATTCGCAGGCGCTACTGCCACAGGTTGTCCTCTATTATCATAGATGACGGTGTGATGGTGGTGTCCTGTAGATCTAGCCAAATTCCACAAAGCTAACCCTGTCAAAACGGTTCCGATTCCGGCACCAGCCAGCCCTAAACCACTAAGGCCACTTCCGGATCGACTCACACCGCCAAAACCTTTGCCATAATTGTTACCGTAGTTTCCGAAATAACCTGGCATTTGAGGACTTGGATTAAAACCTTGACCTCCTCCGTAACCAGAATAACCACCGTAATGGGAACCATGATTTGAATATGGTGGTGGAGGACCTTGAGGGGGATGATAATTATTACTACCACCGTAAGCCGGATAATTTCCTGCAGCTCCAGGCTTGTATCCAGGGTAAGGTGGTGGCGCTCCAGCTCCTGTGCCTACTGGCACGTTGGCCTGTGGATAACCAACACCAGTACCATGAGCAGGCCCCGAACCAGATCCAGAAAGGCCATTCGATTTAGGATATCCTGCAGATCCTGAACCACCCGACAATCCATTAGATGCCGGATAAGCATGACTTGGTTGGTTATTAGTATGTGTTTGGGTACCTGGACGTTGTGCGTCTTGTCGCGGTGCATTACTTCTTTGAATATTCTCTTGGTATGCAGGTGGTTGCTTCACGGGTGTATTTCCAGATAATCCAGTTTGGCTTGAAGGATAACCATGACTCTGACTATTGGACGGATTAGACTGTTTCGAAGGATATGTATGTGTTTTACGTGCTGCTGGTTTTTCCTGCCATCCGAATAGAGACGGCTTGGGTGCGGCTGCCTGCTGTGGATTGCTAAACGAAGTGGGAACTGGATTGTAATTAGTTTTTCGGCTACTACCACGACCGGACCCTGAGCTCCGACTTTTAGATGTTTTCCTAGCGTCACTACATATTAAAATAATCACTAAAAACAAAGTCACAAATGCAAGATTTTTCATTATCACACCACACACCTAACTTAAATATTACAATGTTCCGACACGAAAGATCGCTTTGAGCTCGACACGGTGACTGACTCGAATTATTGTATGACACAGTCTTCTCGAACGTCAAGTGGATTAAATTATGATGAGGTTGTTGTTGGTCGTCCACCGCCGCGGTACAATAGTGTGCATTTTTATTGGGACAAGTAACGACTACGTCGACGATCCGTCGCCTTGGATATTACTAGCTCAACACGCTTACGGCTATCATAGAAACTTCGTATTGATTTTACACGAGCAATAAATAACGAGTAAGATCAATATTGTGAACTAAAAATAAACCAGCCTGTAGAGTACCTACCTTTATCCAATGTGTATTAACTAGTTGTATGATTAATCGTAATAATGCCAACTTTAGATATAAAAAGTGCGAACGGATTTTATAGGGAAAGCTAGCTACCGACACTGAAAGTAGGATATTTTTCCCTTATATATAGGTTTGTATTATTAAAAATTATTCCTTTTCATTATAATATTAACATAATTAAAAACAAACGGACGCATCTTCATAAACATATTTGTATATAACTTTGCTAGTCCTTGGTCATATATTCGGTTAAAAAACATTCAAACCACACATAACAATGCAAACATACAATTGTAATTTCGCTTCACAAATAAAATCCGCTGTCTACTATAATTACCGGAAAAGTAAAATCAACACAATAACTCACTATACATACCATCACTATACACAGTACATAGGTGCTTTGTTATTTGTTAGTTGGTTTATTAGTAGCTGAATAAATAATTAACTTTATACTAACGAGGTCTTATTTAGATTATCGTATGGTCTGATAGAGCTAATAATAATTTTTGCTGCTTTTATAAGTCGTTTAAATTTTAATCGATTATATCTTCAAAACTACTGAGCCGATTTTGATGAAACTTGTGGTGTACCCTAAGGTGAAAGCTAAACAATCAAATAAAAATTAATCATTGCAACCCTACGTCTCTTCTCTACATACATCTATAATTTTGCACATGTGTTTGGAAGTCTATACAGACCAACATAATTATATGAATATTACCACATTCCAAAAAAAATGACATATATACGCCTCGAATTTATAACCTCCTTTTTTCAGTCGGTTAAATAAAGTCGGTTAAGGCAGTCGGGCGCCTATCGTTTGAATAATAAACATACAGAAGACCTCCGTCCGATTTCTATAGCAATTTCTTGAATAATTTAAAGTATAATTTATTATTTTTTAAAGTTATAATCTATTATTTTTTAAAGTAAGGTCCTAAACTTTTTAAAGTATTTATTTCTATTTATAATGGACACGGGAGTAGAAGATCAAGCGAAAGGAGCCGTCCGCTATTGCAATTAAGCATCGAGTAGTTTACACCGAACGCATATTTTTATCAGGTTAGGTTCACGTCCTCGGGGCCTACGGACGTGATTGGCAGCCGCCCCCGCATTGCACGGTTTCGTCTGTCTGGAAGCAACTCTCGATTTACCCGAATCTCACCAATTTACTTGAGTGTCATGGTGACTTGGCCGTAGCTTGCTAGCTTGCTTAAAACTTAAAGCCAATGACATCCGCGTCTGATGTATCTTGACGTAGGTTGGAATCGCCCTGAAATTATCGGTCCAGTAGTCTTGGAGCAAATTCGAAGCAAACAAACAAATGTCCATCTTTCCTCTTTATAGTATAGATTAGGTAAAAGAGGTCCGATGGCGTACTGGGTTTAAGTTGCAGTTAAATGAGTAAGTATATACCTACTTTTTAATGCCAAACAAGGATATACATGTACATTTATTTTACATAACTAAGTACAAATTACGAACACATCGCTAGCTAGCGATTTTTTCCAGGCAACCTAGCATTTAAATCTGCTATTTAAAATATAATAGCAGATTGTGCATAAAACTAGACAAATAATAATAATTTTAAAGATCAATAACAATAAAAGAACTATTCAAAGTTACGATCAAAATGCTCAGAGACAAGCAACAACCAGAGCGCGAAAAAAAAAAAAAAAAGTAACTTTCGTAAGGACCGTTATTATCTTGAGCACTGTGCACAACACACGTTAACACCCACCGATCCGCAATAAGCCCGCATAATGGCTTATGGCCCATAGATCTTATTCGATTCGACTCCATTCATAGGAAAAAAGAATTCTACCAATATACTTCCCACGCAGACGAAGTTGCGGGCACAGCTAGTGTATTTATAAATAGCTTTAGATGCTCTAATCTGACTTGATCGTTGTTTCTTACGCAATACCAGGCTGCCTGGGCCCCTGAGACTTCTATCCTAAAGGCCAACTTTTAATATCGATACGATTGAAGTATGTCGGTGTAGGTACACATACCAATAACCGGAAGAAACATTGTACGCTCTCAATTGGTAAATTGACTATCTGGAAGCTACGAATGGACTTAACTAGAGAATGATAGGTCTTCGGTCGAAGGATGAATCAAATAACATTCTTAATGACCGGAAACAGATGTTGCATGTATGTATGTGTATAAACGAGTGGAGTATAGCTAAGATAAATATTATGCTCAATATGAACTATGATTTACCTACCCACTACTATCCCCGAACTATTACAGTGTAGTTCACTCACATAGCGGCATTGTTGGGAGCCATTGATTACACTTCTAAAACGTCAGGAAACTTTTTAAAATGGTGCGATTCAGATACTCGACTAATCTAATTTTTGGTAACTTATTGACTGACTGAGGATCACCGCACAGCTTAGACAACTGAATCCGTACTGGACTTAATATGGTAATAAAAACTTTTTCCAAAAATAATACCGACTTCAAACTTAAAAAAGAGATAAGATAACTATAATTAGAATAAATTTTCATCTTTATCGAAAGTTTAAATATTTGTAAAAATATTTCTTTTGTAAAAATTCGTCAGTCTTTTTTTTATATAATATTTTGCCGCTTTCCCTATTTAGTAACAGGCTCTTATTATTTTGTATCTAGTAATTCATTCAAGTTCTCGTGTTTTTCCTCTCGCACTTTCGTACCTCATACGACACATTCATCCATCCTCCTTCACACCTTAACGGGGGGATCACCCGCCTATTCCTGCTAATCTAATCTAATGTACTTTATTTTTATTCTTTATTTATTCGTCAGTCTTATTAGGTCCTGGGTAGCTCAGTGGTTAGAGTAGTCGCCCGGACTTTTTAAGCAGTTTTCATTAAGAAGATAAATAATACTTATCTCAAACAAAAGCGACTTATTCAAGAAAATGCTATTGAAGTGGGGCGGAGATTTTCTGAAGGTTAATAATTAAATAATAGGCGGCAGACTTTAATAACATAACGCTCTTAAAGGCTTAGATTTCGCATTTGCTTATATAGATGACATTATAATAGGATCACAAAGTATAGAATCTCACTTAAAACACCTAGAACTAGTTCTCGAACGATTAAACAACTACGGTCTCACTATAAATCTACCAAAATGCGAATTTGGAAAATTCCAATTAGAATTTCTAGGTTATCATATCAATAAAGAAGGCATCAAACCTAGTTTAAAAAAAAATACAAACTAATTTAAATTATCGTCAACCTAATAATATTGAAGAGCTCCGTCGATTCTTAGGTATGATAAATATTTATAGAAAAAATATCCCAAAGGCAGCAGAAATTCAATCACCATTAAACGCACACTTACATAATTAAAAAAAACGCGACAAAACTAAAATTACTTGGTCTGATAGCGATAAAAGCATTCAAACAATGTAAAGAAAGTTTAAATAACGCTGTTATGTTATCTCACCCCGATAGTTCCGCACCACTTATCTTAATGACAGATGCTTCGGAGAATTGCGTAGGCGCAGCTTTGCATCAAAAAATTAACGATAAATTAGAACCCTTAGGATTTTACTCAAAAAAATTGACGGAGACTCAAACTAGATATAGCACATATGACAGAGAATTATTAGCTATTTATTTATCAATCAAACATTTTAGATATTTGGTAGATGGTAGAGAACTAACAGTACTAACCGATCATAAACCGTTAACATACGCACTAACAAAAAAAGTCTCACCATCAGATTCATTTCTCGATCTCTATTGTGCAAACTGCGAGTTCTTTCAGAGACAAAGCGCATTTCCATATCAAAGGAAGTTTCATACTCATACCATACTGCATGTATGTTACGATCAGCTGTTAGATGCGCTATGTGATCTTCAGAAGTTTCCTGAGAACGCTTGTTGTATGATTTCTCCGAGAGCTCAAGAGATTGTCCCTGACGTTAAATTCTTAACATTTAAGTTTATAGTGCATGAGCCTGGCGATGGATAGTTAAATACGCTTCGCGTTTTTCAGGTGTCTCCCGAGACCGAGCGCTTTCCGGCCGATCTCTTTCTTTGTCAATAAAAGTCGGTCGGTACATGTCTGACGGAAGATACGTTGAGTTTTATTTATTGATATAAAAAAATATATACATATTTTAATATCGGCTTCCGTCTGATTTAAACGGCCCTCATCATCATCGTCAACCCTTTTATGTCACCAACTGCAGGAGCCTTATCGATTAAGGAGGATGGGCCACGACTCTCCATGCTGGCCCAATACGAATTGGAGGATATTAACGACTGCAAATACAAAGGACCCATCGCTTTACGTGCCTTCCAAAGCTTGGAGTTGTTTAAGATAATATTTGTTTGCTCACCCATCCTGTGACCAAACTTTGCGAAAGTTGCGTAACAACTACAATCGCGAGCCATGGAGCCTATTCACTACGCCACCGAGCTACTCTGAACCGATCTACAGACTCACGTAATATTATATGTGTTGTGACCAATGAATCAACCATTGTTTCCGGCGAAGACTAAATATACCAAATTTGAAGTACGTATCTACAGCAAATTTGTATTTTGAATAAAATCAAAAATAGTATTAACATAAAAAATAGTAATAAGAGAAAAAAACTTCAGTTGACGTGAATCTAACTTTTTTTACGTCGTGGAAAAGCTTCTGACATTTTCTCTGCTACGTGGCAAGCAACAGGGGGTGACTAGGATTTTCCTCCGTGAACCCGATAGTGAGCTGCCCAGTGTGTCCCCAGAGGCCTACCCACCAAAACCCGTATGCTACACCGTCTCATGGGAGATGAAACCCGGCTACCTATGACCGCG